GGTGCCTGTGTCAAATACGCATTGTAACCGAATCAAGTAATAGTCTACATACATGTAGAATAGTTTGACGAACTTTTAGTTTTTTGCTCAGTACCAGCCCACATACCAAAGATAACCCATTGGCGATTCTACTTTGTTTATACAAAGTACAGCATTGTGTCGCCAATCGAGTAGAATAACTGATAAGACCAGTTATCAAATGTTACACCAACTCGGATTGGGCGTATGCTTTAGAGTTGCCTTCAATCAGGTCTATGCATTTTACCGAGGTAAATCCCATACAGATTATGTTTACATCAAGCTTGTGAAACCACACGATTCAAGCGATGTAGTTATTGATGAAATTATCATATCTGTAGTAAAATTGTCTATCATATCATAAAAAAATATTGAAATTAAATTCCTCATGATATACAAATCAGGGTATATTTTTGAATACACAATGACCATGTTTGTAAATTCTTTTCATCTCCAACAGAAAGAGTCAAGATCTTCCGTGATATCAGCTTGTTACCATATGCTTGAGTCTATTATTGGGTATATGACTGCGGAACCAACACTGAGTTTGACAACAAAGCAAATAACTCAGCTACATTCTGCAATGGTTGGCGCTTTTGGTGCAGTTGTTCATTACCTCACACGAATGTCCGAAGATAAGTCAAATGTAAGTTTTAGACAACACAAATACACTGGCCATAACAGTCCATAAAATATATGCAGACAAATAAAAAACATTATTATTCATCTGTCACAGTAACACCATAAGTTACAGTGTGCCGTAATTTTGCGGTATTTTACGGGGTATTTTCATTCTTGCATATTAGGAAATGCGAATTCCAAATATGGAATGATTACGCGCGTAAGCGTCCTCTAATAATAAAAACAAACATGGCTGCCATCAGGGTTTGATTGGACTCCACACAAAGAAGTTCGCTGATTCTGTTCTGAACATTTTGAATTTCTGCATTCCCATGATGTATCCTTGGAATACACTGGTGATCAAAACGAACAAATAAAAACATTATTAGCACACTTCCAACAAAGGAATCAACCGAGGCAGCAGGTCAGACAACTAAGTGTGCCATCCATTTATTTAGTCCTGTATTTTCAGGTCATTCATATTTAGGTGATCTGTTTTGGTAATACATCATAAAATCGTGCAGAATTTCGTGAGGTTATTTTAAGAATACCACGAAGTATGCATTATGTTGATCATATCAACTGATATTTCATTATTATTATCTTCTTCTACTTGTCATATTATCCTGGAATGTCACATATTCATAACCTTTTCAAACTCATCTGAACTGATTTTTAGTTACGCTGTCATCGAATGACAGAACGAGCTGTTCATATACTGTTCTTGTGCATTCGCCTGTCCATCATCAATTCCATTTTCAACTTCTTCTTAAAAACTACAAGTCCAATTACTTGATGCTTGATATGCAGGTACATATCAAATTTGTTCATTTTGTGATGATATCTTCAATTAGTATTAAATATATTTGTCATTTTTGGTTAAAAATGCTAATCTCAAATTTTCTTGAAAGCATCCAGATAATTACTTACATACTTGGTATGTAGGTATCATGTTTGTAACAATATGATAACAATTGTAATTGCTATGGCAACAACTATATACATGTTTGAGCAATAGCAAGAAAATTATAGGAACATTTCAAAAATAACCATAGCAATCAGCTAATATCACATTGTACAGAACATTATCAAGAATCATTACTTAGAAGGTTCAACATAATTAACTTTCAGTACACCACACCATTAGTGCAAGCGTCTGTGCGAGTGTTGGGAGCATGGTTAGCAGAGGAAACATCAGCGCTTAAAGAAGACATTTATGCAATTATTCCATTTCTCATTGACATTGGGTAAGTAAAAAAATAATAATGGGGCTTGATGTTACTAATCTTGATATTGAAGTGTTCCATCAAATAAATGACATACAAAAAATGAAAAGAAAGGGTGCACAAACTTGGTTCCATGTAAGCAATGACTTCTCATTATAGCTTTGTGATTTCTCATTAGATTTAAGCTTATTTACGCTGTCAAATTGCATATAGGCTATATAATGGTTCAGTTACCCTATAAATTTTCTTTATTTAAAATTTCAGGTAATTCTTTTTCATTAGTTTCCATCCGTAACTTCAAATACTGAAGACTTCCACTTTTTTGTGTACACCATGTGACACATGTATAAAATGTTAGCTCACCCAATGATTTCTATTTTTCCAGGAGAGAATCATTTTATGAACTGAAAACTAGATTATCCAAAGATACAGCGGAGGATCTTGGTCATACAAGCAGTACTGGTCCCCTTCTTGTTGATTTGCTGAGGTTCCTACTGCCATCCTTGTGCCATTTTTCAGCTGAGGACGTGCCACGCAATATTCTCATTGAGAACAGAACGCATGAACTTTTAGGAGAGTATTTCAACTATCACTGGTTGCTGTTTACTGCCAAGAATACAGAATACAACTCAGAAGTAAGGGTTGTCATAGTTACATGAAATGATTGATGCGTGATGGTATATTTACTGGAACTGACGAGTTCATTAGTGTTCTCTTTCAATAAGTGTGTGGTATACTGTGCATTTTATCCCTGCCATCGCTACGTTTCCCAAGACTCTTGGGACTGAAAATCAATCAAGTCAGTCTTGAAAAAAGGGTTAAAAGGCCATGGTCGTCGTGCTGCATTGTGTAAATAAGTGACATACACAACACGTCTTAAAATACATTTAATGTTTTCATGGAATTCGATAAGGCCAGAAAAAAAAAAAAATGATGTTGCCCTCAAGTCAGAATTTTTTTTTTTTTTTTTTAAACTCATGAAAACTAAGGGTATTGTAAATAGGTATATGGGAAAAAAAACATGACCCGATACTTCATATTTTTAGGCTGGTCGCTGAGGGCAAAATTTTTTTTTTTTTTTTGGCCTAATGCACTGTGCAATGACTATC